GCTTCGGGTTTGCAGACGAGAGTCATTGGGGTTTGGTGACTTTCTTGACACGTGAGACAGATGCGTTCCTGCGGGACGGCCAGCGCCGAGAGTCCATCCGAGCACAATGACCAGCTGCGGCGAGCAGCTGGAGAAGTGCATGGCTTTTTCTACACTTTCGGCCCGGCGCAGCCGGACGACTGGAGCTGCGGCCATCGACTCCTGGCCCCACCGGATTTTCCTCTCGAGATCTTTCGGCCGGGGGCAAACTTGAAGAGTGTCTGTGAGGAAGCTGCATGGGCGAAGCCTGCCCAGTCTGCTAGCATGGGCACTGAGGGCCGTTGTGCGTAAGTTGTGTAAGTCAGGCGAGCCGGACCAGCGTGCGGAGGGCATAGGGTTCAGGGTTCCCGGTGAGGAGCTTACAGGGTTTAGAGCTTTGGGGCTGAACGGTGTTCTCGTGCCGAGTTGCACACCCGAAGCTCCTTGCCAAGGATGGTTGAAGGGAAGGGAGGCGCCAGGATGGCGCCTAGAAAGGCAGAGGGTTTAGTTTAGGGTTTAGGGTTTAGGGTTTAGGGTTTAGGGTTTAGGGTTTAGGGTTTAGGGTTTAGGGTTTAGGGTTTAGGGTAACCCTAAGCGGCCCAAACGCCGAACCCCACTAAGCCTCCCAGTGGGCCATCCTCCCCTTTTCAGAGGTCCTGGGCTCCTAGTGAGGCAAAGATGATGAGCCGAAGCCGTTGTTTTAAAACGAAATCCCAGACCCTAAAGCCACAAACCCCTCAAGAAGCCTGAACACTACTAGCGGCCCTAAACCCCCAAAAAACCGGACACTGAACTCGAAAAGAGCCTACGTGTATTAAGGGCTTATGCCTATAAACCGTATAAACCCCCTATAGAACCCTCAAGCCCCTTAAGCCCTAAGGCTGCTGTCCCTGGCCTTCATGGAGTCCTTGACCATCTACGGCCTCGTGATTGCCCTGGTGCTGGACTCAGATTCGTGGTTTTGCTTCGGGTCTGGGGGTTACAGTTTCGGGGTTTATGGACTTATGGGTTTAGGGGTTTAGGGTTTAGGGTTCAGGGTTAGGGTTTAGGGTTTAGGGGTTAGGTGTTTTAGGGTTAGGGCGAAACTGGGTCATTCCAGGCGCATTCTCAACGGGAACTCCTGCTGCTTCCCTACATCCTGCTACTCGAATGTCGAATGCTTTTTCCTATGCCCTTATACACTTTTTGCCTTACACCCTTAAACCCTAAACCCTAAACCCTCTTACTCCGAACCCTACATCGCTTCTACCTACGAGCAAGTTGACCCACAACATAGGATTGTTCGGCTTCACCCTGGATTTACAACGTTTAGGGTTTAGGTTCAGGGTTTATAGGGTTATAGGGGTTTTCGGGTTATAGGGTTTAGGGGATCGTGTGGTAGACGGTGCTGCAAGTCCTAAGGCGCGCAACTAGAGGTTTAGGGCATTAGGGTCTTAACTTTGTTTCGCCTTAGCGATGAAGCCGAGCCAACTCCGAAACCCTGATTGCTGAGCCGTGCGCCACAAATTATGTAACCCCTACACTTGAACCTTGCAAACCCTTAACCCCTAAACTCCAATGTGCTCATCCTGCGCTAATTGTGGTGGTCCTGCCTTCTCAGGTGCTCCTCTTCGCGAACCCTCTGATCAAGTGAGCAAGCCGTTGGCGATTCGAATGAAGTTCTCCAACTGTAAGGCAAGAGGGTTCCAATGTGTTGTCACCAACTCACCGTACGGCCCCAAACCTATAAGGGTTTAGGTTGTATAATGGGGCATATGGGGGTTTAGGGAAATACGGGACGCCAAATGGTAGGATTCCCGTAAAATAATGATCCCAATGCGTTCCCAAATATCGCAAACCCTCCAGATAACGACACACAGCGTGTTGCTTCTCCCCCAGCAGGAGGCTCCTAGCCTCGTTGCGGGCAGAGATCATGCGGCGTTAGAAACGCAAGCAGCTCTCGCGCTTGCAGAAAAAAGGAGTGGCGGTCGAGCGTGGGCGATGCAGTCCCGGCTTAAGTACTTAGGGTTCAGGGATTTGGGGATTTGGGGTTGAGGGACTGAGGCTACAAGGAGGCTTGAAGGGCTTGCCCGTGGCGAGGTTGCCATACCGATGGTTGAAGCCACCAACCCGCAACTCCTACAATCTCTGCACCCCAACCGCGCGCGTCCCTTTTGGGCCCAGTACTCCAGTTTTTCCCGCCACGTCGCTCCAGTGTCCCGCACCCGAAGAGCATCCTAGGCATCTTGGCTGGAGTTGGGTCGCGTCTACTGTTTAGGATAATATCTGTGTGTGTGTGTGTGTGTGTGTCTGTCTGTCTCTGTGCGTCTCTGTCTCTCTGCGTCTCTCTGCGTCTCTCTGCGTCTCTCTGCGTCTCTCTACATCTCTCTGCGTCTCTCTGTGTCTCTCTGCGTCTCTCTGTGTCTCTCTGTGTCTCTCTGTGTCTCTCTGTGTCTCTCTGCGTCTCTCTGTGTCTGTTTTTTTTCCAAGTCGTCCTTGGTCTGGACGCTAAGCCCGAAAGTCCCAAGCCTCTCTCTTGCGGAGCCTGAAAGGGGATGGGAGCTGGAAGAAGCTAGTGCCCTGTCAAGGACTCTTCCGCTTTGAAGCTGAAAGGGCCCTGTATAAACTTCATCAGCCCTAATTATTCAAACGCTGGCCGCAGGCCTCCAAAACCGGGGTGCTTAAGCCTTCAAGCCCCCCCAAAATGCCTCAAACAGCTCAACGCCCTAAACCCCCCCCTCCCCGCCCGCCCCGAATCAAAGCCGAAGCCCGCTTCCCAGAGACTCCAAAACTTGTCCAAAACCCCTTAATTAAGGAATATAACTTAAATCATATTAGGGTTCCTACTATAATTTAAGGTATATTGCTTAATTAAGGGGTTTTGGAGTCTCTGGGTTCAGGATGGCCCGCTCCCTCATTCTGACCGGTGCCGTGATCCTGTGCAGCGGCTCGGGCCCCAGGTTTTGACTCGCACCCGGGACACGAAGCACTCAATATCGGGTTCGGGTTCAGGGTTGATTTCGGGTCTAGGGCTATTTTTTGAAGCCCTAATAGGGGTTTTAGGGTTTCGGGTTTAGGGTTTGGGGTTTGGGGTTTGGGGGCCCCTGAGGCCGCCTGAAGCCTCCTGGAATCCTAATTCGAGACTGCTACTATAAGGGGGGAACATCCCAAGTCTGAACCCTGAACCATGAACCCTGAACCCTAAAACCTAAACCCTAAACCCTAAACCCTAAACCCTAAACCCAAGTATGCGGTGGACAGAAGGCGCACTCTTCACGGCCTTCGTGGCGGCACCACGCGCCGCCCCGGCCCCCGCCGCGCCACATGCCGCCACTGCGGCCCTCAGCAGCTCGTTCTGCGTTTAGGGTTTAGGGTTTAGGGGTTAGGGTTGATCTTGAAGGGGTCTTCTTGGAAGGTTCTAGTCAGAAGGTTTTGGTGTTGAATACATCCCGGATCATCCCTAGACCCCTAGGTTCAGAATTCCAGGAAAGCCGTAGAGTTACTCCACCCCAACTCAAGCCGCCACAAGCCCTCAAAGGCGCAGTGACCCTGGTGGCCCCTCAGGCAGCCCATGCCGAGGCAGGTGTATTCGTTCGAGCTTTCAACCCAGATCCCTGAACCATAGACTTTGGCTTGTAGGCAAAACACAGTAGGATTCTTATTCCCTGGTGGCCGAAAAGCAGGGAAGTAAGTTATCGCACGGGCGTTTCCTCACAACATTGTCGCAGGATCCTCTGCGACCCCCCCCCTCCCCACTTACTCTCCTTCATGGAGGATCCACGGGATTCACGAATAATTCTACATATATATATATATATATATATATATATGAACGGTGTGTGTGGGGGCGGGGGTTAGGTGGGCATCCTATGACAACTGCAGATTTGGGCCTCGTTTCGGAGGGGCATGTAGGCTGCCTTGGAGGCTTCGAAGTTGCCCGGTTGTACTTATAAACCCTAAACCCTAAACCCTAAACCCTAAACCCTAAACCCTAAAAACCCGAAGCCTCGGAAGCCTTTGAAGGGTTGGGTCGGATGACGCGCCCTTTCGCTCAAAGTTGCTTAGACATGCAAACCCAGAGACTCCAAAACCCCTTAGTTAAGGAATATAACTTAAATCATACTAGGGTTCCTACTATAATTTAAGGAATATAACTTAAATCATACTAGGGTTCCTACTATAATTTAAGGTACATTCCTTAATTAAGGGGGTTTTGGAGTGTCTGGGAACCCAGAGCCTCCCCCGGGAGCCCCAGGCCATGACACCCATAATGCCCCTGCACGACTTGAGGGACCGAGATTTAGGATCCGGGCTTTTGGGCTTGTGGGTTTTTGGGCTTTTGGGCTTGTGGGCTTGTGGGCTTGTGGGCTTCAGGAAATAAAGAATGTTAATTGAATCTGATATTAAAGCATATATACTGTATAATTCCTGAAATAAGCAGCACCATCAATCAATCAGCTATGAATAAAAACAGCAATTAAACATACTATTTATATAAGTAAAATAATTAATGTTAGATAATTAAGACAAAATAAATCCTTATATAATAGTAAAAAAAAGCTATAGCCGAGGTCAGGTTAAAATTGTAGGGGTTTAGGGTTTAGGGTTCAGCCCTAAACCCTCAACCCCCCCCCCCCCCCCCCAAGCCCTCAACCCTCTAGTTGGGACCCGCTCAGGCCCTAAGCCTTCTCCACCCGAGACTCTACACCTGAACCTCTAAACCCTTATACACCCTAAACCTTAGACCCCCTCATACACGAACTAAACCCGAAACCTAAAACCCCAAACCCTTCTACACCCTACTTCAAACCCGAAACCTTAAACCCTAAACCCTTATACACTAACTAAACCCGCAACCTAAAGCCCTAAACCCTTCTACACCCTAATTAAAACCCGAAACCTTACACCCTAAACCTTATATACTAATTAAAACCCGAAACCTTAAACCCTAAGCCCTTATACACTAATTAAACCCGAGACCCCTTCTTCCTCCCGAAACGCAGGGCGGTGCCGTGTGGATCCCGGCGCTCTCCGCCATCGGCGCCGGCTTCGCCATTGGCCTCGCCGCCATCGGCTCGGGCGTGGGCCAGGCCGAAGCTTCTTGGGGTTTTGGGTGTAGGGTGTAGGGTGTAGGGTTTAGGGTTTAGGGTTTAGGGTCTAGGGTTTAGGGTTTAGGGTTTAGGGATACACTTTGGTCTTCCGGATATTGTTGGAAGCCTATATTGTTGGGCTTCAGGATTGTTAAGCGTCTGGGGCTTCAAGTGGCTTAGGGCGTTTAAAGCCTTACGTAGGGATTTTTGTTCAGGGGGTTTCAGGGTTTCAGGTCTTAATGTTCTGGGCTTTATGTTAGAGTTGTGCTAAAGTACTGTGCTCGGGTGGAATTCCTCAAGGGGTGTCAGTCTGAGCCATCCAATTCCCCCGCCCGCGCTCCCCTAAACCTTCGGGGAATCAGGGCATCGCCAGCGGCCGCTGCATTGATGGCATCTCCCGCCAGCCGGAGGCCTCACATGGTTTTGTTTGTGCATGCGTGCGCACGCTGCTTCGCCAGCCTGAACTTTCTGAAGCCCTGAGACCCTAAAACCCCCAAAACGGCACACCCGAAGCTCAAAACCCTAAACCCAAAACCCAAAACCCAAAACCCAAAACCCTAAACCCGAAACCCGAACCCCGAAACCCGAAACCCGAAACCCGAAACCCGAACCCTAAACCCTTAACCCCTAACCCCTAAACCCTAAACCCTAAACCCTAAACCCTAAACCCTAAGCCCTAAGCCCTAAACCCTAAACCCTAAACCCTAAACTCTAACCCTAAACCCTAAACCCTAAACCCTGACCAGAGGTTGATTTAGGGGGGAGGTAGGAATGTGCGGATCTCCCTTTGAAGGGCCGTAGAAGGCATGGAACCACCTGTGCTGCCCATTTTGGTTAAGGATTGGGCATCAAGAAGGTGATAATTCATTCATGTCTTAGACTTACGGGGCAGTTTTTTTTTTCGAATCTGCGGTGATTTTCAAGTATGTGTAGTAGGCTCTTTAACCCTTCGCCCCATGAAGGGCACGTGGTTCACTGGTCCAGGTGCAGCCCCTAAATCTTAAACCCGAACCAAAATCCAAACCCTTCTAACGTCGGAAACCATGGGCCCTTAGTATGGTCCCTTACCCTTGTTTAGAGGGATCCGAAGTATGGGCTCTGATTATGTAGAGTGTATTACATGGGGACCCAACTTGAGGGCGCGCACTCCTCACCCTTGTCCAGCCAAACCCGCATGCGCAGGTTGCGGATGACCTCCGCGGTGTGCTGCTGCTGGGCCGAATGCAACCACCAGGGGCCCCCAAAAGAACTTGTAGGTGCTTCGGGCTTAGGGCTTAGGGCATTTAGGGCTTAGGGCTCAGGGCTTAGGGCTTTTAGGGCTTAGGGCTCAGGGCTTAGGGCTCAGGGCTCAGGGCTCAGGGCTTAGGGCTTAGGGCTTAGGGCTTTTAGGGCTTAGGGCTCAGGGCTTAGGGCTCAGGGCTCAGGGCTCAGGGCTCAGGGCTGAGGGCTGAGGGCTTAGGGCTTAGGGGTTAGGGCTTTTAAAACTTAGGGCTGGGTTAGGGAAGTCCCCAACCCCAAGAAATTCAGAGTTCAAGCGTGTTCGAGGCTGCTGTCCCTGGCCTTCATGGAGTCCCTGACCATCTACGGTCTGGTGATTGCCCTGGCACGAGCCTTAAGGGAGGGTGAAGTTGGGAGAGTGCACACACCCTAGGTATACATAATGTTTTCAACATTGGCTATTTCATGGTAGTCGTATAAGGGTTTCATAGTATAAGGGTGTATCAGTATAAGGGTTTAGGGTTTATATTAGTATAAAGGTTTATTAGCATAAGGGTTGGGGCACTCTGCATGTTCGAGGTGTATGGGCGGGGCGACCCTCCTGAGCCTGTCCTAGACCCGACCACCTCGCTGACCTCACCTTCCGACAAAGTATTTAGGCAGGTTCGGCTCAACACAAGAAGATGCATGTACATGGGGGTGTAGGGTCCGTGTGTTTCTCTGGGTTTCAGGCCTTTTGCGCTGCAGCCCAGTCAGATGATGCGGGCTCCAGACGAGCCGCACATCTACTTGGTAGGCGAGATGGCGTTTTAATGGCCAACGTAGTAAAAAGCCTTGTTTGAGCTTAGGAACTTAGCAACGAGGCCCAGCTCGCAAAGCTCGCGAGCCCTGCAAGACATCACGATGCCCAGGTGCTCCTCTTCGCGAACCCTCTGATCAAGTGAGCACAGCGGAGATGCGGGAAAGTTTTCCAAGCGCTGCAGGGTCGGCGGAGGGCTGAGGCCAAGTCATGAGCAGCTCGACAGCGTACTCTCTGTGCCGCCGACCATGCTGTGAAAGGTAGCTGTTCGTAAGGACATAGCGATCACTCTCTAGGAGCCTTTGTGTACGATTGAAGAAGATGAGGCGATGCGAGCGCGGGCTCAACAAAAGGCGCGGATAAGCTGCTGCGAGCCTTCATGCACTCGCAAATCTCACTTGTTATCAGTATAATAAGTTATTGTTATACTAATAAATATTATTCTTATTATTATGATTATGATCATGCTTAGTATTTTTGCTTCCATTATTCGTTCGCTCCATGCAGTCACCTGAATCTCTTACAGTCATTCAGGTACCAACTACTTCGCTCGCCCAATGCGGTCGCTCACCACACTGGTTCACTCAATGCTAACAATTGTCGGCTCACTTTGCTCAAGCAAAGGCAGTAGCGTCATGTACGCATCCACCTCACACTCTAGCTCATGACTCGCTCTCAACCTTGAACCCAGTCAGTCGCTCATCGCCACTCTTTCCGTGGCACTTCATGTGCGCACTCAGTCACCTACCAGTCTCCTCACCACTTCTCCTCGCTCCACTTGCTATCCACTTGCTCATTCACGGACCTTCATCATTCGATCGGCTCTCCCCCTTTCGAGGTTGAAGGTTTAGATGTTAATGTTCAGGTCTTTCGGATGTAGAATTTGGGTTGCAGGGTTCGCCTTGAAGAGCCCAAAACCTACTGCACTGTAGGCTACCTCAGAATCCTACATTGTCAATGGAGTTTTGAATCAAAACACAGGAGGCTTGGGGTTCTGAACTCGAGGCCATCCGAAGGAACCAGACGCAAGACATCTGATTGTGGCTGTGTTTCGTCAAAGCAGGTCGGCTTAAAACCGCAAGGGTTTCAGGCTTTGGTGTTTTAAAGGCTCAGGGCTTAATGTTTGTTTCCGGTCTCGTGTTTGTAGGGCGCTTTAAGTTCGAGGGTTTACTTGCACGTTCTTGGGCAGTTGTAAGTACAGCGACAACCAGCTATAGCCATGGCTGTAGTTGCCCGGAAAGTATAACCCAGATATAACTGCTGATGATTTAGGCGCTGTTTTTTGGGGCCCTCGTTAGGGGTTTATAGGGTGCAGGGCCGGGGTTTGGAGAGGGTCGTGATTGATGTGCTGCATTTTGGCCCAGCTTCACTGTGTCCCGCACCTTTGCTCGCGCACCTCACGCAACACTATCATCAAGATGCATGGCTGAAGTGGGATGGCAGGGCTTCGATGTGCCTGTGATGTCCCTAAACCCCAATCCTAAAACCGAAACCCTAAACGTATACCCCTAAGCCCTAAACCGAATCGCCATGAGTCTTGAACCCAGGTAAGGTTGGAAGTGTTCACTGCAAAGCTTCACCCTGAACCGACCCCAGGCCAAGTTCTGCAAAACAAAGTTGGAGGATTTCAGGTTTTGGCCGCGGGGGGGGGGGGGGGGGGGAGGGGCCCTCCTGTACCCTCTCAACCCTAAACCCTAATCCCTAAACCACACTGCACCGGGCATAATTCTTTAGAAGATAGGTCCCGAAACAGTACTCGCTCAACCCCCAACCTTCCAGGCCCTAAAACCCTCAACTTTCCCTGAAACCCCAACGGTTTCGGGCTGCGTGCTCAAACCCTCACGCCTGAACCCCTAAGCCCTCAAACCCTGCAACCCCAAAACCCTACAACCCCTAAAGCCCTAAAACCGCTAAAAGCCCTAAACGCTAAACCCTAAACCCGAAACCCTAAACCCCCCCGGCTCGTGACCGACCCAGGATGGCCCGCTCCCTGATCTTCACCGGCGCCGTGCTGCTCTGCAGCGGCCAGGGCCTTGAGCGCTTTGGGTTTAGGGTTTAGGGTTTAGGGTTTAGGGATTGGGGCTTCAGAGTTTTAGGGTTTTGGAGGGTTATGGTTCAGGCTTTTTAGGGTTTAGGCTTTTAGGTTTAGGGTTTAGGGCTGGGGTGGTAGGCAGAAGGGTTCGAGTTTTGGGTTTGGGGGTGAGGGGGTAGGGTTCCCAGATCTTAGAAACCAGGTGCAACTTGGGAATTTTACAGGCTTATAAGGGTCTGCTTGAAGGCTCTTGGGGTAATCTTCTGGTAGCCTGGCCACAACCACCCATGAGCCTGCAAGTCCCCTAGGACCAAAGCCCTCAAGCCCGAAACTTCGACCCTCCCACCCCCGGAACTGTCAAAGCGAATGCAACCGTTCATGCAAAGCCCTAGCCCTGACACTCATTCCTCAGCCCGAGGGTTTAGGGTTTAGGGTTTAGGGTTTCGGGTTTAGGGTTTAGGAAATCCTGAGAGGAGCACTCTTCACAGCCTTCGTGGCCGCACCCCGCACGGCACCGGCACCAACGATGCCCGCTGCAACTGCTGCCCTGAGCGGTGTGGCCGCAGACATATGGGGGGGGGGGGGGGGCCTTGGAGGGCGGGGATGTTCTGTCTAAGCCGTAGCATCCCAAAAACTTAGTTCTTGGCATATTATACATTTTGCATTATATATATATACAAATATATTTCTATATACATGTGTCTCTCGGTAGGGCATGGGGAGAGTTGATACTGGAGCCCCTTGTTTCTAAAGTGACGTTGCAGCTAGCTGCTACACTGGAGCCCCTTGTCAAAGACAAGAAGCTGGGTATACTTTTTTCGCTTTGGCTCTGAGTGGAGGCTTGCAGATTAATTACAGTATATTCCAATCCAAATAGTTGAGGGTATCCCTTTGGGTCTCTCTTATCTCCCAGCAATTACATTGACAACTTTCGCTGTTTTGATATTGCCATGTGCCATGGCGATGCGACTGCCGGACCGGCGGCCAATGTGATCCGTGTTTGGAGGGTCTCGGGGGAAGAGCTGGCAGCCATACCCGTGGAGGATCTGAGTGATGTTGAGTCATTGCAGCGCCACCTTCGAGCCAAGCTTGGGATTCCTGTGTGCCTTCAGCAACTCCTGCACGACGGCAGGCGGCTGTCTGAGCCTGATAAGTTAGGAGCGCCCATGGAGTTGCAGATGGCTCTGTCGTCCCATGTGAAGGGCCCAGGACCTGCTACGGAGCTTTGTCAAGCAGCGTCTGCTGGAGAGGCTGAGGTGGTGCGCTTGCTGTTGCAAGCCGGTGTGGACAAGGACGTGACGGACCCGGATGGCGAGACAGCCCTCCTTGCTGCGTCCGCAAACGGTCACGTTGAGGTGGTGCGCTTGCTGTTGGAAGCCGGTGCCAAGGACCTGGCTGACGATGATGGCACCACGGCCCTCCTCCGTGCATCTACGAATGGCCATACTGAGGCGGTGCGCCTGCTCTTGGAAGCTGGCTCGGAGAAAGATTGGAGAGACGAAGATGGCAACACGGCCCTCATCAGCGCATCTAGAACTGGCCACGTTGAGGTGGTGGGCTTGCTATTGCAAGCGGGTGCGGCCAAGGGCTTCAGAAACAGCCATGGTAACACGGCCCTGATGTGTGCGTCTGAGAGTGGTCATGCAGAGGTGGTGCACTTGCTGCGAGGCACCAGAACCAGAAGAGCCCGACACTTCCCCTAGATTGGTCCACTTAGTTTGCCATGTGGCCGCCGGCAAAGGCTAAGCGGAACCCGTCCGAGTTCCGGAAAAGCAAAGAGGTGTGTTTCGGGGTGAGCTGCTTAGGAGTCTGCAGTGCTCTATGCTCTTTGGGCCCTAGGGCCTTCGGATCTTGTTTTTTCGGAAGAACCGCCGGAGATGTATGATTGCTTCGTATCGTGACGTGCGGATATGCTGGTGCTGCAGCACGAATCTGCAGATTGCTTGAGAGGGAGTGCATACAGTTTTGGACAAGCGCGTTGAGAATCCGCAACCCCCAAAAACCTCTGAGGGCAGGATGCCATGGTTCTGGGGATGAGGTCCTGTGGGGGTTTAAGGGCTTTTTTATTTAGGGTTTAGGGTTTAGGGTTTAGGGTTTAGGGTTTAGGGTTTAAGTTGTTTGTACGCTCCAACATGTCAAAAGTTAGAAGGGTGCTACTGTGACATCGGCATGCAGAAGCCTTCTTGCAGCTTAGGGTTTAGGGTTTAGGTGGTTTTTTTTTGTCTCTATGCGAGTATGCTCGTCACAATAGAGGCCAGGCAGTTCGAGCCCCAAAGCCTAAACCCTGAAACCCCAAACCCTTCAACCCAGAGCCCAAAACTTAAATTAATAAACCCCCAAACCCCCAAACCCCCAAACCCCCCAAACCCCCCAAAACCCCAAACCCTCAGGAATTTCATTCACGCTCCCCCCTTTTCACACCAACCCCTCCAACACAGCCCTAAAACCCTAAAACCCTGAACCCCAAAAAGCCTGAACCCCTAAATCCTCCAACCCTAACCCTCAACGCTAAGCCCTGAAACCATAAATTTTTCCAACCCTAGAACCCTACACTCTAAACCCTTAACCCTGAACCTTAAACCCTAAACCCCGAACCCTAAACACTAGCAGCGCGCAGAGGCGCCGTGACGCTGGCAGCCCCGGAGGTGGTCCATGCCGAGGCGCCGAGTCCTAAACCCTAAACCCTAAACCCTAAACCCTAAACCGGTCTTTCTGTGGGGTTTGGGGTTTAGGGTTTAGGGTCTGGGATCTGGGGTCTGGGGTAGGGTTTGGGGTTTAGGGTTTGGGGTCTTTTTTTCGGTTTTGTTTTCAAGGTTGCTTTAGCTTGTTTTTTGGCGTTTTGTCTCCACTTGTTCTGTTCAAGTTTATTGTTGAACGCGATGAGGTTTTAATGTTTCAGCGGTTGTAAGTTTTGTATGTTTTAAGTGTGTTTGGCGTTCAAAAGGTTTACATGGGTTACTAAGAAGGCTGTGTCTAGGGTTAGAAAGTGGTTTATAACAGGATCTGAGGCTTAGGTCTAAGAGCTTAGGGTGTTTAGGGTTTAGGGTTTGGGGTCCAAGGGGCTTAGGTTTTAAAGGTTCAAGGGTTTAGGGCTTAGAAGGTCCAAAGGGGGC